TGTATTAAAACTTGAGAGTTACCAGTTTTTAATTAACACTCACATGAGAAAATACAAATAATTGCATGGATATATTTTTGGACTGATTTCATTGGTATTAGAAACTCTGGTGAGGAAATCTCCTATACCAAGGCTTATACCTTCTCTGCAATCAATATTCCTAGAGAGTTGCCTTGAGGATTCTGAGGTTAAGTAACTTGCCCAGAGTCACACAGAAAGTTCATATAAGACGTCAGACTTGAAACGTATATTGTCCTTGCTTCAAGGTTAGCTCTCTATCCATTATAATACACTGCATCTTTTTGGTGACACTACTCACAAAAAAAGAAATAATATGTAAAATGGAAAATTAAGACATATGGACAATATAAACCCAAGCATATGAGCAGTACATCTATGTATTAAATATGTATAAGTCTATAGGACACTTATTCATTCCACATGTGTCTTCATGTCATATGTATTAATTTTTTTCAGTTCCAAAATGAAAGATTTTAATCAGTTCTCACCAGAATTCATTTTTGTTAAATATATTAAATTTTATATATCAAAATGGGATAAATATATTTATTTTTATTCCTCATGTTTTTATAAATTTCAGATATGTTTCTTATCACAGTAGAAGCAGATAAGTCATGAAACATTAAAGCAAAGCTGATAGGTAAGTAGGAATTTTTATAAAGATATCTTAGACATCATTATTCTTACCTGGGTTCAGATCTCTGAAATAAACACTATTCAACATACCTTCCATGTCCATTCCTAGTTCTCCTTGAGCTACCAAAGAAAAATTCATTTTTATGTCTTTTGGCTTTGGACTATGTCTAAGGCAAATTATAATGTTAGAAAACGTAAGAAAATTGACTCCAAATACCACACACAAAAATTGAGGATTAAATTCAACATGAAGGATCAAAATATAGTTAAGTGTAGAAGTTCCATTATCTTAATCATTTCTTTTTGTCTATTCTTCTTTCCATCTGACTGCTCTCTAAATCATCTATCACATCAGTGCCAAGTAATTCATCCTGTGTACTACTCTGATCACATCAATCCCTTCATCAAAAGACTCCAGTTTTTTGCCTTCCAAATAAAGCATAATCATCTGAATCTGCATTCAAAGACTTCTACAACCTCGGTGCCATCTGCCTTTTCAGTCTTATCTCATACTTCTATCATGCATGACTGATGTAGTCACGTCCTTTAAGTCTGAACTTAAGGGCCCCCTCTTTCACAAGGTCTTCTTTGACCCCTTAAAGGCTAAAGTGATATTTATCTCCTGAAATTTCTCATAATATTTTTCACCAGGACCTCTTTGTACTTACATAGCTCTTTTTTGTTATTAGAGTTACTTGGGCATATCATTTTCAACTCTATTTACTCTTAAAATCTCAATTTAATGAACCAAGGCTTCAACATTTATAGTGTATACAAATTTAAGCATATGAAATCCAGCAGCAAAAATATCTGGTTAGTAACTGTGAGTTTAGCACCTAAATAGGAATAATAACTAGTAAATAAAAATAATAATAACTAATATGTATATGTCAGGTTTGTAAAGTGCTTTACATATATTATCTCACTTGGTCCTAACAACATAACCTTGTGAGGTAGTGCTATTATACGCCAATTTTACAGAAGAAAAAATAGTAATTATAATTATCAATTTTGGCCTGCAGAAGAGAGAAAATACTCCTCTCTTCCTTCTTTATAGAGGTAAAGGATTATGGGTGTAGAACAAAGCACATAATATCAGGCTTCGTTGATACTTGGCCAATTTTGTGGTATTTGTTCTCTTTTTTATCTTTGTTAAAATTGAGGGTTCTTTGCAAGAGAAGAGAAAAGGGTTATATGTGGAAATGAATGTGATGTAAAAACAAAATACACCAAGAAAATTTTCAAAAGAAAGTGATTTTTAAAATTTAAAGTGCTATGAAAATTTGAGTAATTTCATGTCTTGAGACTCAAGATTCCTCTTCTGTTTAAAAAAAAAAAAAAGGAATTGACCAGGCCTCTAAGGTTTCTTGGAATTCACAGTCTTTTGATCCTATATATATATATATATATGAATGCAGCTACTTGGTTAGAAGAATCTATAGAGAATGAATACTTATACAATGTTTACACATTTTGACTCAATTTTTTTCCTGTTCAACTAAAAAATCAAAACATAATTGACTACTAAATACTGAATTTTATTTCAATTTTCCTTCTATATGTTTTCACAAAACCATAGCTATATGCCAAAATAATAACAAGAAATTGCTAAGCTTATATTTGTTTTTAATTAGCAATTACAAGCACAGTGTAAATACTTGAAAACATTTGAGGATGCTACAATATTGTTACTGTAAACTTCACGTAAAGAATCTTTGACTAGGTTCACAGTTCATGGATTATGTTGAAGATTTTTAATATAGACAAATAAGTAAAGAATGAAATATTTTTGTTTTGTTTTGGTCCAGACCTATAATTTCACTGGTGTAGGAATTGCAGGGGAGGTCAGCAATTGCTCTGCAACTTGTATTGGACAATTGCCTGGGATACTGAGACATTATGTGACTTATTCAAAATCATAAGCCCACCATAGTGACTAAAATTCATGGACTATTCATTTTATTTTAGTGTTGAAGTTACATATAAAATAAACGAGAGCCTGACTTCAAAAAATACATGTCTGTTGGAAATTAAAAACTATCTCATGTGTATCCTAATACTAATCTGCTCAGGAGACTTTCTGCTAAGATACATGAAATAAGTACAATTACAAAGTATTTAAAGCATTTCATCCAAAGATCTGATGTTATTTTCTAATAAATGTCCTTAGATTTTGCCAAATTCTACTTGAAAAAATATGAAGTGGTTTATTTATTAATAAGCAACCCACAAAAGCTATGATTAAGAGCATACTGATAAAACATAAATAGTCCTTCCTTATCTGGTACATGTATAATTCTCATATTAATCTTGCTTTATCTTTGTCAGAGTTTAAATACTTCCTTTGTCTCTGTAAAAAAGTTTAAATACTGTAATAAATGTAACTTTGTGTTCTAGCTTTCTTCAAAATATAAAAACAATTATGTAATAGAACTTTCCTAGTTGTGACATTCCATACTTATTCTTTACTTCTAAGCTTAAATTTTAGGTATTAGGAACATGTTCATTACCTGGAAAAGTTTTCTTACCATATATGATCATTCATGAACATACCCAATACCATAAAAATAATGAATAATTTTATAAATACAAAAATTAATGTAATCACCATAGCAAATTTCACATCCAATTAAATTTAATTAGCAAAGCTGAACATATACCATATAGAAAATAAAGCATTATTTTCAGGATATTTTTGTGATTTTGTATTTATAAATAATTTTTAAAAATAAATCAATATATTTGGTATACTATTTTGACATACAGATATTCATATGTCCACAATATATGAGTACACAATTTATGTACATATATAATGACAAATGTATGCATGTATAAACATTTCCTGTGATAACTGAAGCAATTCAAGATTAATTAACTTTAAAAAGAAAACCTACATCACAATGTGAATTCAGGAGAGAAGCTTTCAAATGCATTGATGTTTGACATCACATATTACACATTGACTTTGCATTCATGTGTGTATATATATCTAGAGACATGCTTACATATACATGTACAGTCTCAAAATGTGTACTAAAACAGTGTAAATTACAAAGCCATATACAAACCTCATACAGATATATGTGATTAATGAAATTGGCTCATTAAGGTTCACGAAATTTATTTTAAGCAAATTCCAAAGGCAAATATCACAGAAGGTTTCAAAACATGATTTACATACAGATATGTTTATACACACATATGTATGTAGAGATATTGTATGCAACTTTTATGATATGTGAATTTTAGAATTTGCTTAAAATAAATTTCATAAACTTTATTGAGCTAAACAATTTTTATTTATCAGATATATCTGTATGATTCTTAAAATGAGGTTTGTATATAGCCCCATGACTTAGATTGATTCAGTATACATTTTGAAACATTTTTTTTCCTAGAAAAAAGAGTTAAATAGACTTGGCATAACGCATATTAAGTATGTCATTAAAGGTAAGTTTTTAGATCAACTAGATCCTACAGTTAAACAGTGTTCAAAAAACTATATGCAAATTAATAGGAATAATGCTTCTGGAATCATTTTAGGGATTTTTATGTCAAGTGGTTATCTACCTAATCCATATTCTGAAAACCTCAATGAACTTTTTAAAATGAAAACTATACAGTTCTATTTTCTATATACTATACTTTTCTTTCTTCTCCATTCTAATGTTTACTTTTTGGCCATTCTAATACTTGCTTATACATCTCTCATTGAAAGCTAAAAGAAAGATCAAGTTTTAAGTAGGATATTTCGGTACTTGTTAGTAGAACTAAATGGGATGGTTATTAACCACTTGTTTAATTAACAGTGCTAACTTTCTTTTGCATTATGGATAAACAAAAGACGAAATGTTTTGATCACTATATAAAATGTTATGCATTATGTATGTGCTAACTAACTCTGACTATGAAATAAATATTTCATAACTGAAATATACCATATTTTGCCTAAATGAAAATAAACTTTTTAGTTAACATTTCTAAGTTATGATTTCAGGGTGGCAATTACCTTATTACATATATAAGTTTTACCCTAGTGTGTCTGACATAACACAAACCAGAGAACCAGAGTAATAAAGTAGTACCCAAGTATATGGTTAAGTGTGTTAACATTAGCATTAAACCAACATTTCTTCCCACACAACATGTGTAACTACTTTTTTCTAATCAAGGATAGAAATAAAGTGTGCACATAACTAATCTAAATGGGCTCTACACACTAAAAACTGTCACACAGTGAGAAAAATAAGATAAAACAAGCACACACTCTTTACAAAAGCATGAAATGCAATGTTTTTATAGTCTCATGCTTTTATGTGGTTTTCCAAACCCTGACAAACCTGGCTCAGTTTGGTGTTTCTTTTTCGGCAATGGTTTGTCATCAGTTATTGCACCATTCACCTTTTTCTGCTGGTCTTCCCATGTAACTTCTGGCATAAACCAAGAGAAATCAGAACTTGTCAGAAACATTAATATGTATAAGAAGATACCTAAAGCATATGAGGGAACTTAATATACACAAATAGCATTCTTGGGACAAAACAATTTGATATTTCATAATGTAGGGCCACAAAAAACTCATAATTTTTCATATAATTTGTCAAACACCTTTTATAGCATACATTTTAAGAGAAACATTAATATTGTGAAATAATTTATACTGCCTTTGAAAATCCAGTGAGTTAAAACTTATAAATTTTAAAAATTATTTTAAAATCTATGAAATAGATGAAAAAACTAAATTGCTTTTTAAAAAATGTTTATATTAGACTGCTTTACTTGATGGTGAAAAGTTAACCCATCAACAGCATTTTACTACTCCATTTATTATAAAAAATATTGCTGTAAAATTGAATGGTGTTTAGATACAAAGTTTAATAAAGAAAAAAAATGTAAAAGATTAAAAGATTTTCCAAAAATAAGGAAAGGGAATAAAAGACCCAGAAATGGAAATGCCATCTTTCAAAAGATCACATGGTATAAAATGGTTCAATATTATATTTGTTAATGTTCTCAGTACCTTCATTAATGAGGAAAATGTATCAAACGATATGCTAATCAGTTCTATAGTCACCTTATTAAAAGAAGATCTCCCATAAGAATAAGTCTCAAGACTTCTATTAGTGGCAGCTAGGTGGCAAAGTAGATAGGATACCAGGCCCAGAGTGAGGAAGACTCATCTTCCTGAGTTCAAATCCTGCCTCAGACACTTACCAGCTGTGTGAACCTGGGCAAGTCACTTAACCCTGTTTGCCTCAGTTTCCTCATCTGTAAAATGAGCTGGAGAAGGAAATGGCAAACCCCTACAGTATCTTTGCCAAGAAAACCCCAAACGGGTCACAAAGAATAGGATATGACTGAACAACAAATCACTTGATTAGAAAAAATAAAATTACTATTAATGCTCACATATTTTGCAACATAGAGCGTTAGCAAATATTCACTATACTACTGGACATTATAAAATTTATAAAAAAGCACTGAACTTCATCTTTTCCCCTTAACAGGTGCAAATTTCTAATTCTCATCTAGTTTGTCTCCGCTATACTGTACAGTCTCTTCTACTCTCCTGCCCCAGTAAATAGGCATTTAGAGAATATAAACTAATACTTTACAATGAAAAGAAATGCCATGATAAATCTGCTTTCTCTTTCCTTGACCCACTGCCAATAATAATATAGCACATTACAAAATCAAATATATGAGGTTATCACCTCTTTCAGAAATTTGTACCATGGTTCCCTATCCACTCATATAAATAATTAGGAGCTTGCTATATTTACTCTAAATCTTTTCTAGTGCCTGTTCTAAGGATAAAAATACATGGCATAAATAAGAACAGGTTTCCTCTGGAGCCAAGATGAAACTAAACTGCTTATATTTGTGAGTGAGGAAGGCAGCTCTGGAGGAAGAGCATTATTAACATTTCACTTGTATGAGTAGTTTACTTACATTGCTGCCGTCTCACATGAAATCAATGAATGATCATTTACATAAAGAAGCCATGTTAAAGGCAATTGCTATGAGAACTGGGAAGACTGGGATGTTAGGTGTTATTTCTGATGTTAAAGTATGCTGTCCAACTCCAAGAACACTGGTAATTTTTCTGTGGCTACAAGATCTAAAATGTTTCATCCCTAATACATATGAAACCGCATAACGTGTCATTTAAAGTAGAAGGCCAAGTGACATGCTAAGTAAAGTACAATATTCTCTACTAAATAAATATTTACCCCAATTTGAAACTATTTGTGCTTTTTGTTACTATTTGCCAAAAATAATGTAAAAGGTTCAAGAAAAGATCTACCAAGTTTTTTCTAAAGTCAATATTTCTAAAATATTAATGTATACAAAAACATCTATGAAATGCTTAATTGTTTTAAATGGAAATGTTGCTATTCACAACATGGCAAACACGAGTCAAGGATTATACAACTCTCAAAATAGAAAAATTTTTGAGAGCTGAGATTTTTTTTTATAAGATATTGGTTCCTTCCTTAGTGCCTTAAAACATGTCTAAGTCATCTTTATCTTTCAAAAATCTTCATGGGACTATCCTCTTAAGCTTATCTTTCTAGATATCACCTCTCTTTATCAGTCAAAGTAGATAAAGCTATCTTGCTTCCACTTGCATGCCTCTCATTTATTCCTCAACACTTTGCAACCTGGCTTTTGAACTCATAATTTAACTGTCTCCAAAGTTACTAATGATCTCTCATTTGCCAATCTAGTGGACTTTTGCCAACCATCCTTCTTTACTTCACTGTTGCATTAAACACTTTAGATCATTCATCTTCTCTTAGATATTTTCTCCTGTCTCTATTTTTTCATTACTCTCTCTCTTCTGGCTCCTTTGAAAATGAAACTCTATCTCCAGATTCCACGTATTTCCACTGGCTGTCCCCCATACATGGAATTATATCTCTTCTTCTCTTACTCTTGGCTGTCCTGACTTCAAGTCTCATCTAAAATCTCACCTTCAGCATGAAGCTTTTCTTGGTCCCTCATTATGTTAGTGCCTTCCTTCTGTGATTATCTCCAATTTATCTTGTATATATCTTGTTTGTACACAGTTATTTGTATGTTGCCTACCCTATTAGACTGTAAGCTCACTGAGGTCTGTGACTATTTTGCCTTTCTTTGGATCCCCAGCATTTAGCATGGTACTTTGTACATAACAAGTACTTAATAAATGCTTGTCTTGACTCTTCCCTGCCTGATCACTCTTTCTCAGTCTTTTTCACTAGCACGCTATCCCTATCATGCCTCACACTGGGTATAAACCAAAACTTTATCAAAAACCTTTTCTTCTCTCTCTATACCCTCCCTTGATGGACTCATTAGCTCCCTTGAATTGAATTATCATTGTTATTCAGATTGCTAATAGATCCATAATCCAGCCTCAGCCCTACTCTTGAGCTTTAGTCTCATATTATGAACTGCTAATCGGGCATTTCAAACTAGATGGTCAGTACACACCTCAAACTCAACATCCAACAAAACTCTATCTTCCTTATTCTCCAAAATTTTTCTACTTTTGTCGAAGGCACTAATATTCTTCTAGTCTCTCCAGTTCATAACTTTGGTGTTATCATTAACTTCTTATTCTTCCTATTCCCAACAACCTATCTTTGGTTTTGTATTTATATACTTTATAGAGTTTGGCATGTGGTAAGTGCTAAGTAAATGTGTAATCAATCATTCATTCAATCATTCATCCATATCCAATCATTTGCAAACTCTTTCCATTTCTACCTCCATATCATTTTTCAAAACTTGTCCTTTCTCTCTACTCTATACAACTACCACTTTACTTCAGGCTTTCTCATTACCTATCACCTAGACTATTTCAGTGGCCTCCTAACTGTACTCCCTGCTTCCAGACTCTCTTTATTCCAAAATATCTTCTGCACAGTTTGTCAAAGTGATTTTCCTTAAGTGCAGAATTGACCATGTCACTCTTCTATAAGTTCAAATGGCTCTGTATTGCCTCTAGGATAAAATATAAACCCTTTGTTTTGGTTTTTAAAGCCATTCAGAACCTGGCCCCAAGGTATCTCCCTAACTACATTATATATTACTTCCCTTCCATCCAGGTTAACCTTCTCCATTCCTCACAAAGGAAGCCATCGCTGTCTTCATGTCTTTTCACTGGCCATTCCCCATGAAAGGAATAATAAACTTCCTCCTCACCTCTGCTTCACAGAATCCCTTTACTTCCTTTAAGAAGCAGCTAAAGTACTTCCTTCTAAATCAAGCCTGTCCTGATCCCTCCAACTATTAGTTCTCTTCTTCCCTAACTACTTAACTACTTTTCACTGATTCTTTAATTATTCGTAGATACTTTTTTCTATATATAGTGACATATGCACATCTTGTCTCTCTGGATAGAATGCAAGCTCCTTGAGAGAAGGTGTGTTTCATTTTTTTGTCTTCCTATCCCTATTGTTTACAATAGTCAGTTAAGCAGCACATATTAAGCCCTTGCTATGTGCCAGACTATGAATTAAGCACTGAAGATACAAATAAAAAGGCTAAAACAATCTTTCCCTCAAAGAGTTTATATTCTAATTGTAAAGAGTCATCTAAATAGCTAGATAGATAAAATATGGAGTAGAAGTAATCTTGACAGACTTAGAAGCGGGGGTGGGAGGGGGGAGGGGGGGACGAGGAAAGACTTCTTGCAGTATGTGGGATTCAAGCTGAGTCTTGAAGTAAGTGAGGGAAGCTAAGAGGTAGAAGCAAGAGAATTCCAAGCTTTTTATAGAAGATACCCATTGCATGGAGACATGGAGTCATGGAGGCTGGAGACATGGAGTCATGGAGGCTGGAGACAGAGTATTGTGATGGAGGAATAGCATTTAGGCCAGGTGGAACTAGATCTCAGAGTGTGTGAAAAGGAGTAATGTGTAAGGAGACTGGAAAGGTTGGAGGGGTTAAGATGATTAAGAGATTTAAATATCAAACAGAGAAGTTTATACTTGAGTATAGTAAGTACATGGTGTTTATGGATTGATCAACTGATACATATGTATAAATGGGTTGATTTGCAAAAGTTATGCCTACCTGTTAATAGGAAAATTGGACCTTTTTAAGTACAGAGAAATACCTGACTCAGAGCTTAAGATATAAATAATTATTTAAATAAATTTTCCCTGAACCAATATATAGTGTTTGAAGACAAGTTAATTTTTTAAAGTAATCTCAATTTCTAACAATTTCTTTATCTGTAAAATTAGGAACCAGGATTAGGTCATCCCTAAGGTTCTTTCCAATTTACAAGTAATGATCCTATGATTCTTTTAGAAGAAATTCTAGCCCTTCAAGCTGGGTATTCAGGGAAGGACCATCAAAAAATGTTAAATTTCATATCCATTTAAAAAATAAACTACATAACAGAAGTTTGTGGTGACATATGCAATCTTTTTCA